GGAGGTTGCGATATTGGCAGAGCAGCTTCACAAAGGGTTTCTGAATGGAGATATCTTGGAGAGGAAGAGATGGGAAGGTTTCGATATTGGCAGAGCAGCTTCACAAAGGTTTCTGAAATGGAGAAATCTTGGAGAAGACAAGATGGGAAAGTTGCGATTTTGGCAGAGCAGCTTCGCAAAGAATCACTTCTCGTACCACAGCTTCGCGAAGAAGAAGTGGAAAATGACTTCCCCAAAAAAAAAAGGGGGGGGGGGGGGGGGGGGGGAGTCATTTTCCGTAAAAATCCATTCATTTTCCATTGACTTTAGTGTTTTCCTTCTTGCCAACACTGGAAATCCGGAAAATGATTTCCAGAAATCATTTTCCGGGTTTCTAAACACACTCTTAATACCACGTATATGAGTAGCATACATAGATGTACACGGTAAATTAAGTAATCATACCTAATATGCATGGTAATCTATAATTAAAATTATTTAATACCATACCTAATATAGACGGTATTATCTAATTAAAATTGATTTTAATACCATGTATATGATTAGCATACATAGGTGCACACACTAATTTTTTTTTTTTTCTTCAATTGACTGATTTATTTCTGGCAAACACAAGATAATACATACCCAAATATTACTATATACATAATAACATACTTTATTATTATTTTTAATACCATGCACACCATTAAATAATCATACCTAATATATAGGATAATACCTAATTAAAATTATTTAATACCATAGTAGTTAATATACACGGTATATGATTACCTAATTAATATTTATTATGGTTATAAAATCATATTATGGTTTTACGTCCATAACTACCAAAAGTTAGGAGGCGATAAGCTTGTGATGACACGGATCCCTCGCATGACCACCATGTGCCTAACTATAACTCTCCCATTAATTACATCATAATAATTATTATTATCATTATTTACTTTCCTCACAAAATTTTCATCTAATGAATTGAAAAAAATGGATAGATTTTCAATTCATTGAAATTAACTTTGATGGAAAACCAATTAATATTATTTTAATATATTAGTTTATTATAGTTGGGGAAAAATTATACAATTATACAATTAGTTATATAAAATAAGGTAAAATTTTGTGATATAATAGTAATAAAATTTTGTGATACAATTAGTAATAAATTATAAAATTAGTTATATAAAATAAGGTAAAAATTACGGATTATTTACTTGCTGAAAATTTTGAGTGAATTATTTTATTATAAGCAGCAAAATATTAAAAAGCGGAAAATACATAGGTTGTATTGTGTAAATTAAAACTGACAAAACCGGAAACTACATGCATACATAAATTTAGATTTTTAAATTATTTAATTTTCGAAATTTTGAATAAATTTGAATAGTACTATACATATGGTGCAATACTTGGTTACAAAATAAGCTTTATATAATTCGTATATAAATATAAATTATTAACACAGTTATATCAATTACAAATGATCAATTTGTTAAATTATACAAATTGTAAAATTGTTACAAATAATTGGCAAAAATGGCACCACATCCGTAAATGATTTGTAACAGTCCGTATGATTATATTTCGAATATATAAAGGAAAAGTGTGATTACATTATGAAAATATAACAGAATATTACAAATTAGTACTAAATTAGGTAAATACCATTACATAAAAACTATTATTGAGAAGTGAAAAATGCCATTACATAAAAACTACGAAATGAAGAATAGTACAAAATGAATAATGAAAAATGCCATGAATAATAGTTTCCAATTGCGTGTAATGTTAGATAATAATAATAATAATAATAATAATAATAATAATAATAATAATAATAATAATATAACATCAAAATACAAACAATTGATTTGATTAAAAACAAAGTGCGAGTAAAAAATAATAACAAATAACATAACAAAGGCATGAGTTTAATAGATTAAATTGTTGACACACATTCCTCATTATTCATCTCTAAGTGGACTCCTCATTATTTGAATCCGCTTCTTTAGAATCCAAAATTCCAATTGGATCATATGATTTATCCTCTCCAGCTTGAGGGGAGTGTTGAAGGCAAATTATTGTGTGGACCATAACAAAAAGTACATTTTTAATATACTAAATGTATATTATTTATGTACTGAATGTACATTATATAATATAATGTACACTCAGTACACAAATAATGTACATCTCCTGAATACAATGTACATTTTTAATATACTAAAATACATTATTTTTGTATTGAATATATATTATTTCATAATATACAAAATATGGTCTACACAACTTGTGTGGACCATAGTTCACGCAATAATAATGGAGTGTTGAAACCCTAGGCCTTTTAAAAATAGGCCCATTAGGTTATAGTTTATTCCTAGTTAGGTATTCTTGGTCCTCTTATTCTACTACATATACATCATTCAACAACCCTGCTAGGAACGGACTACATATACACGCTTGTTGTTGGAAATGTTTGAAGGTTTAGTTTGGCAGTTGCTATTAGGTTACCTTGGCCAATACATTCGGGACATTCAAACGGAGCAGCTCAAGATTACTCTGTGGAATGGTAACTTGCTGATTATTTGAGAAAAGCACTCTTTTCCACTCCGGTTTACAAGTAATAGTAACAAAATTGACGAAGGGGAATTTTTTATTTTCTTTTCTTTAATGTGATTGCATTTGGGCATTTTCATTTCTTTGTGCTGGGGTTTGAGCTTTCTAATGAAAGTTTAGGGGTAAATATTTTGATGGTTGGCAATACATAACAAAGGATAAAGCTAATACTTTTTTCTCTTTTAACTTTTTAATTCATGTTATATTTTGTGGCATATCTGTATAATGATCATTTATAGCTACTTACAATAATCTGAATTTTAGATAAAATTTACATTAACAATCATCTTACTATCGCAGAAGAAGTATTATTGGAAAATGTTAAGCTGATTCTTGAAGCTTTTGATTACCTTCAGTTCCCATTTGCTTTAAAGCAAGGTAAATTCTCTGTACTTTTTCCATGTATTCTGCTAATTATTCTAGTACAAGCATTTTTAGAATGCTTTAAAAACACCATTTAGTTATTACTTGCCATAATTCCATTATAGTCTTATAGCTTGCAGCTATTGCTGTATCTGAGCTTAAATTATGCTTATGGAATTTTGTTCTCCAATTTGCTAAATTTACCTTAGCTTGCAACTGTTTGCTGTATGGTATTGTGGGAATTTAAAAGAACAACACTATGAAAGTTATAAGCTGCATTATTTTTTGGGAGAGGGTGGGTGGAAGCATAGATATTTTGATATGTGTGCTAAAGGTCGAAAGTCAAGTTTGTCAGCACTTGATACTTTGATGCCATTACAAGCCAACTAAAATAGTGTGACCTTTGGCTTTGTTATATTCATCTAAAACCCAAACCTGCTAAGTGAGTTATCACAGATAAATACTTGTGCAATATCCTCCAATTTAATAAAGAAATTATAAAGGGGATGAGGGGGTCTAAAACTTATTGTGAAGGCAGTTCCTTTGCCGTTTATGATCTAGGATTTATGGTTCATGATTATGAGTTCAGAGTACTAAAGCGTCTAACTTCATTTATGTTTATAGGTCATGTTGGCAAGTTGAGTATTAGGATTCCATGGAAAAAGCTTGGCTGGGATCTTGTTATAATCATCTTAGAGGATGTATTGATCTGTGCCTCCCAAGGAGATGAAAAAGAGGTATTAATTAATATAAACCACTATTTATGCTTGTTTTCCCTTTTAAACAGCTTTATTATAGTAGCTATTAATTAATAGCCGATTTTTATACATGATCCTAATTAAATGCTACCTAAGAATGATACAGAACTATAGTTATTTAGTAGAAAAAAAAAGTTTCAATAAGTAAAGCGGAGTTCCCTAGTTAATGGTATGCATTCAACAGAAAGAAAGGAAAAGATACAATGCTGAAATGCAGTAGCGGAAGAAAAATAAGCTGAAATGACAGAACCAACTTCCAATAGGATTCAAATAATATAATCTGACTTTTAACCAGAAAGGTCTAGTTTAAAGGAAGTGTTTGAAACATTAAATGCATGACAATAGGAAAGAAAATTAGATTTAAATGAAATGCAGATATAGCTCTAGCTGCCAAAACTGTAGGACTCTTAGACTTCCCGCTTACTACATCAGCCCCAAGTTTGCTGGTTATGGTGTTTATGTTGCTGTGCGTTCTTTTATGGTTGTTTCCTTACATCAGCCCTCAAGTTTGCTAGTTCTTGGTATTTATGCTGCTGTGCGTTCTTTTATGGTTGTTTCCTTTATATGAATTTTAATTGATGAACACTGCTTTGATTTATTCATTTATTTTTTCCAGGCAGTGACTGTATTTGCTATGAAGTTTTCAAGCTTGACAATTATGAAGCAACATTTTCCTGGGTATTATTCTATTTTTTGACGCACTAATTAGCTAAGTGCTCTCTGTAGTGGATAAATATAAAATAATAAATGTTTAGGCACAGCACAACAATTGCTAAGGCACAGAGAAACCAAAACTCTTAACTAGATTGTTAGAGATTGGTACTGTTGGAATTGAGGGATTGATAGGTCTGGCGGGTGGAGAATAACCACCACCCGCCAGTTAGGCGGAAGGTGAGAAGCAAAATATGTGAGAACCAAAGAACAAGAGAAGATAGAGAATATATTATAATGAAAGATTACAATAGATTGGCTCTCTGTATATGTTCTATACTTCAATGGACCTCTATATATACTAAACTAGATACTAAATTAGTCTAGGAAACTACTAATAAGAATAGGAAAGTAAGACAACTTTCATAATATTCAGCACTCCCCCTCAAGCTGGAACATCTGGAAGTTCCAAGCTTGGATTAAAACAAGCACTCTACCTCACTCAAAATTACAAATGAAAATTAAATGCAATTAGAGGATAACAATGCGAGATGGCTTCGGAGGGACAATGCAACCCTTGGGAATGAACACTTCAGGGGCAAAGCTTGTCACGAACATCCTTGGGAATGGGGGCACCAAGGGAAACACGAACACCGTCATAGCAACATAAGCACTCTAGGATGGATGACTTCAAAAGAGATTGCGCTATGTCTGACCCTTCCTTGGAATGAAGACGAAGGCCACCAAGAACGGAGCTGAACACAATCCTTGGGAATAAAGACGAGACACCAAGGACGAAGCTAAACACGATCTTGGGAATGAACACACCGAGGACGGAATTGAACATGAACCTCAGGAATGAAGATGAGCACACCAAGGATAGATTTAAATATGAACAACTCCCTATAACACAAGAGAGCGGTAGAGGCAAAAAGGAAGCAAAGAATAGCAAAGGACGCAGTAGAGCCCATAGTAGATAAAATACCAAATGATAGTAAAGGATAGCACACCGATTGTAGATAGTCACACTCCCCCTTACTTGAAACATGGGAAATAATCTAAGGTCTTTATAGTAGTGCTGAAACTGAACATCCATGGGATAAGCATACCAGAGATAAAGAAACAAACACGGTTATACCAAAACACAAACACCATGGGAAAAGTTCGGCAACAAACCCAAAGAAGCCTTCAAATTTCACCAACAAGTCGAAAGAAGGGAAAATAACAATCTGAAAAATTTCACCGAAAAATCTTGCCAGAGGTAGCGCGTGAGGATGACGGTGGGGGAGGAAAGCGATTAAATTTTCCAGATAAGGTCGCAAGAGGGAGAGGAATCCATTGGTGTATGAGGTGAGATCACAAAATCACTGGAGAAGAGGAGATCTGACCGGAAAAACTAAAGCAGTCCGTCGGCGATGGTGGCGCGTGACAGCGCGTGCGGCGGCGGATGGTGACGAGATTCCAGGCGTAGGCTCGCGACGATGATCCGAGAGGTCCTGTGGTGAAAGATTTGGAGAACAACCACAAGATACGTCGGAACAGGAGAAAACAGTCACTGGTTCGCCGGAAAATAAGTGTTGCCGGAAATATTGGAAGAAAAATAGCCTAGGAATGTAGGCTCTGATACCATGTTGAAATTGAGGATTGATAGGTCTGGCGGGTGGAGAATAACCACCACCCGCCAGTTAGGCGGAAACAAAATATGTGAGAACAAAGAACAAGAGAAGTTAGAGAATATATTATAATGAAAGATTACAATAGATTGTCTCTCTGTATATATGTTCTATACTTCAATGGACCTCTATATATACTAAACTAGATACTAAATTAGTTTAGGAAACTACTAATAAGAATAGGAAAGTAAGACAACTTTCCTAATATTCAACAGGTACGCAGCGAAAATAAATAAAGATAAGTGTGTGTGAGATTGTGTCAAGTATATCCCGTGAGAAGCAAATAAAGAGCAGTAAGTAAAGAAAGCAGTAAAGTACACAAGACAATTATAGTGGTTCGGAGGTGGTGTAATCCCCATACTTCCACTTGCTCTTATCTCCAAGAGCAAATCACTATATCCACCACTTCTTGGTTCCAAGATACAATGAATTCCGTGATCTAGTGCTTTGATCACCAAGCTCGCACTAATCACGCCCAGTGACACCACACTGCTGCTTCGGGTTTCACGTCGCCGTGCTACTTTCCCAGGATTTCACGACTCTGTGTTACTTCCCCCCCCCCCCCCCCCCCCGTCTTCTACGCTCCGGTAGAAACACTCTTCCGTGATCTAGTGCTTTGATCACAAAGCCCGCACTAATCACACTCAGTGTCTCCGACACTGCTGCTTCGGATCTCACAGCTCCGTGTGACAATCCAGGATCTCACATCTCCGTGTGACAATCCAGGATTTCACAGCTCCGTGCTACTTTCCTCCCTTCCTACACTCCTGTAGGAATATCACTTGTTCAAAGACAAGTTTTCTTCTTGCTTCCAACTTCTGAGACTCTGTAGATGATCATCAATATGATGCAGGTCTCTTGGTGATGAAGATTAAACACTCTTGAATGATTTCTCGAGTGTTTTTCTCTCTTTGAAAAGTATCAAGTATAACACTTGATTTTTTATGCTCTGTTTAGCCCTGTTTTTAGAACTCTCTGAAATATTTCTCTTTAAGCTCTCTAAGTTCTTTTTCTTTTCTCACTTGAAGATTTCTTTTCGTATGCTCAGTACCAATTTAAACTCTTGCTCTTTGAGTTCTTTGCTCTCTTATGCTCTATTTCGTATTTCTTGCTCTTTGTTCGTGAGTTCCCCACTTCCTCATCTTCAAGTCTTCATATCTTCATCCTTATATAGCTGGTAACGAGAATCTGCCCGTTGGAAAGAGACGATCTCATTTTTGAATTCTTATATCTTTTGTCAGATATCTTATCTTATCTTCTGGCAAAGTGTCAGAAAAGATAATCTAGCCGTTTGTAGAGCTCATGCAAATGAGTTCAAAGATAATCTAGCCATTTGTAGAGCTCATGCAAATGAGTTCCCAAACTTCATCTGATATTCCTCTGGTGTTCTCACGTTTCTTGGAAATATCTGGGTCTCAGTTTTATGTAGAACGGCTTTGGTTCTTGGGATTTTAAAGAAAGTATTTTTCTTTCTGAGAATTTCTTCACTGTAAGTTTTCTTCTTCTTCTTTCTCCCGTCTGGGTGTGGGTTTTCTTTGAATTTCTCTTTTGTATTCTTGATCGAACTCCCTCCCTGTCATCGTATCTTGTGTAAGAATCGTTTTCAGGCTTCTTATCGCTTGCCCATCAGTGGCAGTTTTGTCTCCCGTCCCTACCGATAGTAACTGATCAACTTACTGTTGGAGTTCAAGAGCATATCTTTTTCCATTATTAGTAGATTTCTATCTCGAAGTGGACAAAGGCATCAATATGAACTCCAAGCTCTATCGCTTGGGAATAAATGCTTCCCTAGCTGCTTGCCGTTGAAACCCGATCATTCGAAACAGCACAGACAGACCGAGGGTCTGGTGCCTATGATGTCATCGTCAAAGAACACTCGAATGGGCAAAACAAAAAAAAGAAAGAAATCCTTCCATCCAGCTTTCAAGTCAAGGAAGATTCAAAAAGATTTCCTGGATCTATTTATGACATATGTACGACTGGTTCTTGGGACCCAAAACAAGACTTCTCCTGGTTTTGAATTTCATCTCAATTCAATTTGCTTCCCAATGGCTCCTACAGCCAAACTAGAACTGAACTCCATGAGATTCGAACTTGAGCCATTTCGCATAATAAATCAAGCATTTTCCAACTCGTCCGTACGGTCTATTGGTTACATCTCCAATCATCTTTGATGTACTCCTTTCTTTCCATAGATGCTTGATCTTCAAGTCAAATTCATGCAAACTTCAAATCTTAATTTTCTTCCTCGAAAATTCTTCTGGGAATTCTTTCTGAGTAGTAGCGACGTGAAACTCATATCATTCATCTTCTTCTTCAATTTGTCATTTTCACCAGACAAATTCTTGATTTTAGGCTTTATATCTTCTTCTTTTATTTTCATACATCTTCCTCTGTTTTTCTCTTTTGCAAATTAAATAATTTCCCGATCATGGTCTAAGACTCTACTAGACCTATACAAATAAAATTGAGGGTTCTACAAATACATATTTGACATATCAAAACCATTACACTTTATTCATAACATGACTCAACAACATAGATATTTCAACACGTAAACATCACATCAAACTTATCAAGGCAACTCATGCTTACAAATAATTTCGTACTAATAAACCATACGAAAGTTATCTTCATGCTTTCAAGTTCTCATCATGTAAACTGGATATACAATACTTCAAAATGCAACTAAACCATCATACTCATAAACGAACTCGGCTAGTCATTCTCATTATGCAATTCATGCAATAATATACTCACATACAATCTCGTGCAAGACTATACTTTAATGCAATCTCGTGCAATACTATACTCAAATGCAATCTCGTGCAATACTATAAATATACTCATACACTCGTTTGTAAAATAGAATACATTTCTGTGTAGGTTTCTTAGAGTCGCAATGACTCGCTTTCTTTCTCTTGAGTCTCTTGATTCGATTTCATTCTTGTTCAAACTTTATCATATTTCTCATTTCACTTCTTGTGCGAGGCAGGTACTCCGCCGCAGCGAAACCCTAGCGTACGGTGCAATCTCGTGCATCCGCCACATCCGTAACTACGGAACCTCTAACTCATGGGGAGGTACGTCTTCACGAATCGTGAATGAACCTAACCGGCTCGGAAATCTTGCCAGCCACATACTCAACTCACCCATAGAACCACTCTCTTGGTTCTATCTCGCTTTCTTGCTTTCTCTGTGGAATCAGGTATCGTACCTTTAGTGTGCACACCAGGATTCCAAGTCTGGCGGGAAGCCTCCAACCTCGTAACATGGGAATACACCGCGTTATATGATAAATCTCTAGGACCGCAATGTCCATAACAAATCATCCGAGAAGACATAGTCCAAACGGGTCCTCCAAAACAAGGTT